AATTTCTTCGAGAAGAGAACTATGTCTGGACGACACGTGGTAGGTGCAATAAAGTGTGGGAATACTAGCCTCTCGTCCAGATCTGAAAGAAGCTGTCAATCATGTGATCCTGACAAAAAACCATCGCTCAGACCTTTCCGCTGAGGTAACTCGCCATGGGGGATGTTTTGACCCGGTTTACAGAAGGTAATGTATGTACCATTAGTGGGAGTTTGCTCGGTATTTGACGACTTTTGCTTTGCTGATACTACTTCTGTCATGAATTTACTGATCTGTTTCAGGACGTTGTCATGGCGCCACGTGTACCTTCCTTGATGGAGTGAGGAAGGGCAGGCGGTGAGAATGTGCCTCAGTGTTGATGTCCGCTGACAAAGAGGGCAATTCTGGTCCACAACAGAGTTGCCCCATCGTCTCAGATTGTCAGGCGAAGGCAGAGTATTAAGTATCGCGTTCATTTGGAACGATATCGTCCTTCCATAGCCCTCGTATAAGAGTTTCCGCCATGTCATGTCCTCGAACATTGTGTCTGCCCATTTGGTCCAGGCCCCTTGCATTTGTAGGCCCTTTAGGTGCCGGAGCTGCTCCTGGCAGTCGCCTTCTCTGATTGTATTGAGGATTTGTTTCCTTGGTTTTACCGCGCGTGCTTTTGGTGTCACGAAGCCCAGTCCGGCTCTGGGCGGACGTGAAGCAGGCGTGTCCCATACGGCCGTTTCGGCACATTCCAATTCCACAACCGGCGAGAACCTACGGGTGAACGTTTGTTCTTGTTTTCTGTGATGGCAATACAGTTGAGCGATGTTGTGGTCTTTGCTGTGCTTGATAATGTGCCATTTAATAGTTTGCTCCTGCTTCCATAGTGTTGTGATACACATGAGCCGGAGACCTGGCCTTTCTCGATTTCCGGTGAAGAGGATGGCGGTGTTTGCAGCCTTGGGTAGGCCTGCCCACTTTTTAATAAAGGAGAGGCTGATGTGATGAAGCATTTTGGCAAAACTGTAACACAGGTCAAGTATCTCTAGGTGCCATGATATTTTCGGGATGATCAGATGTTGATAGAGCCAGAGTTTCTGGTGACCGACAAGGTGGGTTTCATGCACCAGTTTTAAGAGGTATCTAGTAAGGTCAACGAGATCTTTGCGTTGTTCCTCCTCTTTCATATTGTCCGTCAAATTTCTCCCCAGAAATTTGAATTGCCGACCATTTAGCGGCGGTACATCCTTGCCGGATATTGTAAGAAGAAGAAGAAGAAGAAGAAGAAGAAGAAGAAGAAGAGAGAGAGAGAGAGAGAGAGAGCACAAAAGAGAAGGATAGGAAATACAATACTTGGTAGAAAGTGGCAGCGGAAACAGCAGGAGCTACTGGAATCGTGGCAATATTATGTTACGGGCCATTTGAACCTAACTTGCCAGACATACGACGACTATCCAAGCTCAGGAATATTCACATCTCCCCGCCACACACGTGCGCGCACACACATACACTCACAGACGTGCACACACACACACACGCACACACACACACACACAGCTGAGCTGCAACTTCAGCACGCATTTCCAAATTTTGAGATATTCTCTGGAAATTCTCCTGACTACAGAGTTCAGACTCGTCTACATTGAATGCCATACAACTCCTAGAGAGAATGAATGAAGCCGTTGGTACTTTGCTACATGCTAAGTAGATATACTAAAGTATAGATTTGTCTAGAATCTAAGTGAACAGCCGTATGCATACAATGCGAATGCTTGACAAGAATTGAGAAAACAAATGTGTGCCATAAATAGTTGATTACTAATTTCTGGTTATCTGTATTATAATAGGAGGTATATGTGCATGGACGGTTAGGATAAACTGTGAATAAATAAGGATAATTCTAATAATTTATGGAATGAATGATTCGTCCGGTGGTGTTGAATTCAACACCACCGGACGAAGGTCTGCCTTCTTGTTCCAGTGTTCAGGGCTGGCGCTGATGTTGCTGTTAAAAATACCAAAATACGGAAACAGGGAGAAAAAAGGAAAACTAATGTGACTCAATATACAGTACCAGTATCCTTGGCGAAAGGAAGTTTCAAATTAATTTCACTTCATGCCCAGCTGAGTGCATGGTTTGCAACGTATAAACCATTCAATTCTTGTGTCACAGTTGTTCTTCCCTCAGTACAATGCCAACATACTATGGTATCTCCGGTCATTTCGGAGGTATATCCTGTAGAATGAACGGCCAGAGTGCAGCAATATCACTTACTTTGAGGTATGGTTAGCAGTCGGTTGAAGCCATGCCGCTGCTCCTGTTGTTGTTGTTGTTGCTGCTGCTGCTGCTGTTGTTGTTGTTGTTGTTGTTGTTGTTGTTGTTGTTGTTGTTGCTGCTGCTGCTGCTGCTGTTGATGCTCAATCTCTTGTCTGTTGCTGTAATGAATAGTATTAGGGAGACAAGAAGGTGGTGCACACATGGTTTAGAATATTATTGTTGAATCCCTACAATAATCCCCAATCAGGGGAGATTCAGGGGGGGGGGGGTTCAAGGCACGCAGACATCCCCGCAGAGCTTCAATGTGTGCCATTGCTCTCTTTTTGAAGGCGATGAGAGAGAGAGAGAGAGAGAGAGAGAGAGAGAGAGAGAGAGAGAGAGAGAGAGAGAGAGAGAGAGAGAGAGAGAGAGAGAGAGAGAGAGAGAGAGAGAGAGAGAGAGAGAGAGAGAGAGAGAGAGAGGTGCACATTGCCCAAACAATTACTTGCAATTTCCCAGGTGTTTGATGATTTCAAATGAAATCACATTGTTTCCATTTTTGGGGCTGCTTTTGGAATTTTATATGTGTTTCCTCTCCACTTTCACAGTTTGACAGGTGCTGGGGGAGTGCACAGCAAGTCACACATCAAAATATGCCAACAAATGTTCTGCAAAACAGCCAAGCACCACAGACAGTCACAACAAATAGCAATACTTACACACAGCTTGCAGCACATATTCCTTCATAAGCAAATCACAGTAGCTGGACTTACCCCGTCAGTCTAGGTCCAGGATCTGCAGGACCCATCCGAAATCTGTCTATCCAGTCATCCTGTTCAATACAACAGCATGACAGTAGCACAGTATTATTAGTCAAAGCAGCGCAGCATACACTATTGACATCAGTATAGCTTCACGGTTTGACACCACCATCACTACATGGGCATGGACATGGCTGAAGTAGATCTGTAAATACACCCACTAGGCCACTGTAGCTACTTGTCATGCGGCTATACACCAGTATGCTATCAGGAGCAGGATTGCGTTGCACAAGTGATAGTTGTAAATACATGTAGCTGCTGGCGTGCTGACATGCCTGCGCGCACATCTCAGAACTGATTTCATTTTGCTAGCACACTCACCATTGCCATTGGTTCTTCTCGGTGGGTGCGCGTTCTCTTCCGGGCCAATATCCAGCAAAGAAACTAGTTACTTCCGCTCTTTCTCGGCTCGGGTGTTGAAATGGCGCAAATACCCATCGACATGTCATTTTGAGGGCAAGAATGGAACTTGAATTTGGAGCCATAATCGAATCCACCAACGGTGAGGAAGTCAGACGCCAGCACAGATCTTCACTATACAGCTATGTCAACACAATGCCTCCAAAACTAGTCAAATGAGACAAGATCAAAAGGTCGCCCCCAGAGATCTGCCACTTTGAAAGGAAAAGGCGCAATATGAATCATTTGAAAATCATGACTGCTAGTGATGCTAGTAGCAACAACGGTAGATCTGCGAGTGACCGCCAAACTACCAAACTGGGAAATGCCAAACTAACTTCCAAAAGAGCTTGGCTGTCTCGGACCCGCATGCGCTACGAATCGCGCGGTACCAGGTTACCATGGTTACAGCAGTGCTCCAACCGCCTGAGCCGATCAGGGTTCAGACCCAGACCTATCTGCAGACGTACATCAGTAGGCTACACAGTCACTGGCCCTGCAGTGCTCGGTAGATCCACGTCGACAGCTGGCACTAGCGGCTATGGTCTGAGCCAGGAGTGGGTGCTGCTGACTGTGCATGTGGTAGATCTACATACCGGTATCGCCATTGCAGTGCTAAACTGTAGTACAGTCGTCCTTCTCTAATCCGGCACCTTTTGCAACGGCATTTTCTGCTGGATAAACAAAGGTGCTGGATTATCCAATCCTGCCCTCCAACCCGGCCCACCTGTTAACATAATTATATGTGTGTGTCGTACGTCAAAACGTAGGGATTTTCTGTGTCAATCCAAGTACTTCGTGGAATGCATGTCTTCAACATACAATTGGGAATATCCTATGCACTGGCATAGGATATTCCCAAGTGTATGTTACATGTGTTGTGTATGTTACAATGCTCCCTGACGGTATGCGATGTAGAACTGTTGGATTAGAAAATCGAATTATGTACAGTTTGAGTGATTTGTTGCAGAAAATAGCTGCTGGAAGCGGAATTCAAGTGCCGGATTAAAGCGTAGAAAATGAACTGAAAAAATCCGTTTTGCCAGAACGTGTGCTGGTTTGCAAGGGTGCTGGATAAACAAGACTTGAAGTGCCGGATTAGAGAGGGACGACTGTACTAGAACTTTCGAAGCCTGTTTACAATAGTTTGAGCAAGGTGGCAAGGTGTCCTCAACAACAAGGCATGTGACGGAGGAGATAGGGGCGGGTGCAAAAAAGGAAGAAGAGAGAGAGAGAGAGAGAGAGAGAGAGAGAGAGAGAGAGAGAGAGAGAGAGAGAGTGAGTGAGAGGGAGAAAGCAAAAGAGAGAGAGTGGCAGAGGAAACAGCCAGAGCTACCGGAATAGTGACAATAATTATGTTACGGGCCATTTGATCCCAACTCTGCCAGACATGCGACGACTATCCAAGCTCGGGAAAAACCACATCTCTCCGCCACACGTATGTGCACACAAACACACACACACGTGCACACACGTGCACACACACACAACTGAGCTGCAACTTCAGCACACATTTCCAAATCTTGAGATAATGTTCTCTGGAAATTCTCCCGACTACAGAGATCAGACTGATCTATGCCATGCAACTGCTACTTTAAAGGAGAATGAATGAAGCCTTCGGTACTTTGCTACATGCTAAGTAGAACCACTAACGTATACATGAATCTAGAATCTTTAAAAGCCCAGCCGTATGCATACAATCATAATGAATGCTGGATAAGAACGGAGAACAAAATTAATGTGCGCCGTAAATAGTTGATTGCTAATTTCTGGTTATCTGTATTATAATGGGAGGTATATGTGCATGGATGGTTAGGATAAACTGTGAATAAATAAGGATAATTCTAGTAATCTATGAAATGAATGATTTGTCCGGTGGTGGTGTTAAATTCAACACCACCGGACGAAGGTCTGCCTTCTTGTGCCAGTGTTCAGGGCTGGCGCTGGTGCTGCTGTTAATTACCAAGATACGGAAACAGGCAGAAAAGAGGAAAACAAATGTGACTCAATATACAGTACCAGTATCCTTGGAGTAAGGAACTTTCAAATGTATATCCCTTCATGCCCAGCTGAGTGCATGGTTTGCAAAGTGCAAACCATTCAATTCTTGTGTCACAGTTGTTCTTCCCTCAGTACAATGCCAACATACTATGGTATCTCCGTTCATTTCGGAGGTATATCCTGTAGAATGAACGGCCAGAGTGCAGCAATATCACTTACTTTGAGGTATGGTTAGCAGTCGGTTGAAGCGATGCCGCTGCTCCTGTTGTTGTTGTTGTTGTTGTTGTTGCTGCTGCTGCTGTTGTTGCTGTTGCTGTTGTTGTTGTTGTTGTTGTTGTTGTTGTTGTTGTTGTTGTTGTTGTTGTTGCTGCTGCTGCTGTTGATGCTCAATCGCTTGTCTGTTGCTGTAATGAATAGTATTAGGGAGACAACAAGGTGGCGCACACATGGTTTAGAATATTATTGTCTAATCCCTAGAATAATCTCCCATCAGGGGAGATTCAGGGGGGGGGGGGGGGGCGACGGGGTGCTCAAGGCCCCCAGACATCCCCACAGAGCTTCAATGTGTGCCATTGCTTTCTTTTTAAAGGGGCACTCCGGGAATATTTTCGGTGGTGTGTTCTCTTCATGGGTGCCTTGTATGGCCCCCAAGGAATGGGGAATCGCGAAAACTAGACCCAAAAAGTCGATATATGAAGCCAGGGAGGGCCAAGTTTGTCTCCTCTTTTGATGGTTTTGATGACGTCACGTGTGATTAGTATTCAAATTCTCTGCATTTGAAGATCTTAGTTGTTTGAATTTTCTGGTGATGAAGAACGATGTTTGGTCGACATTCCCAAGCTTCACAACTGCGGACCTACTCTAAGGAACCTGAAGGACCCTCTGAGGTGCCCCTGGTAGAAGCGCAGCCTGATGAGGGCCAGGAGATTGGAGCGGACGACTTCACTGGTCCGCGTACGAGGATCCCGAAATTCTCTATATGTCGTGAGGCATATGGTCAGAACAGTTTTTTTAGACAAGCTGACACGAAGTCGGGGTGATGTGTAACGCACGTCAAAGGGCTGTCAATGCTAACAGCTGCAGCGCTCTCTCGACAGCGAAGGTAATCGACTGCCCTCTGCATCACCCCACATTTCTGGCAGGAACACCAATCGTTATTTCCTTGTCGACCAGTGAAGTCGTCCGCTCCAATTTCCTGGCCGTCATCAGGCTGCGCTTCTACCAGTGACACCTCAGGAGGTCCTTCAGGTTCCTTAGAGTATGGTCGCAGTTGTGAAGCTTGGGAATGTTGACCAAACATCGTTCTTCATCACCAGAAAATTCAAACAACTAAGATCTTCAAATGCAGAGAATTTGAATACTAATCACACGTGACGTCATCAAAACCATCAAAAGAGGAGACAAACTTGGCCCTCCCTAGCTTCATATATCGACTTTTTGGGCCTAGTTTTCGCGATTCCCCATTCCTTGGGGGCCATATAAGGCCCCCATGAAGAGAACACACCACCGAAAATATTCCCGGAGTGCCCCTTTAAAGGCGACGAGAGAGAGAGAGAGAGAGAGAGAGAGAGAGAGAGAGAGAGAGAGAGAGAGAGAGAGAGAGAGAGAGAGAGAGAGAGAGAGAGAGAGAGAGAGAGAGAGAGAGAGAGAGAGAGAGAGAGGGAGAGGTGCACATTGCCCAAAAAACACTTGCCATTTCCCAGGTGTTTCGGGGATTTCAAATGAAATCACATTGTTTCCATTTTTGGGGCTGCTTTTGGAATTTTATATGCGTTTCCTCTCCACTGTCACAGTTTGACAGGTGTGGGGGGGGGGGGGGGGAGTGCACAGCAAGTCACACATCAAAATATGCCAACAAATGTGATCTGCAAAACAGGCACACACCACAGCCGGTCACAACAAATAGCAATACTTGCTTAGTATTTACAGCTTACAGCACATATTCATTCATAAACAAATCACAGTAGCTGGACTTACTCCGTCAGTCTAGGTCCAGGATCTACAGGACCCATCCGAAATCTGTCTATCCAGTCATCCTGTTCAATACAATAACATGACAGTAGCACAGTATACCATTAGTCAAATCAGCGCCAGCATACACTATTGCCATCAGTAGATGTTTGCCACCACCAGGGTACCAACACCACCATCACCACATGGGCATGGACATGGCTGAAGTAGATCTGTAAATACACCCACTGTAGCTACTTGTCATGCTGCTATACACCATTATAGTAATGTACATACACCGCTGCTGGCAAGTATTCTTTCTGCTAAACAATACTGACAGCAGTCGCAGCCCTGCAAGTAATTGCAATGTGAATGCCTGCTAAGAAAGGGTTTGCTCCCCACACCGGAGCTCGCGCTATTCCGCCGACTTTACTTGACTGGCTCACGACTGCCATCCAGAGCACACGAGAAGTCCATCGAACCTTCGGCTCGGCAAACCTGCAAGAAAGCACCACTCCCTGCTCAATACACAGTGTTTCGGGGAATTCACCCCTCATCAGTTGAGCTTGAGTAGGCTGAGGAAGATTGTGCCTGAAGAGCACCACTTATATAGTGCTCTCCAGGCACAAACATCACCAGGGATACAAACTTACAGAGACGCTCCGTTTCCAGCGCAACAAACACCTGGTGAACACCAGATAGCAGCGTGAGTCAGTGTCGCTCCTGGACGGTGAGACAGACGTCGAGGCCCCTCCGTCATTCGCAACGCTGTCACCTCCAAACCAACTAGTCGCAACCACTACTTCGTCCTGTTGTGCCCAGCGCGGGCTTGCGACTAGTTGGTTTGGAGGTGACAGCGTTGCGAATGACAGAGGGTCCTCGACGTCTGTCTCACCGTCCAGGAGCGACACTGACTCACGCTGCTATCTGGTGTTCACCAGGTGTTTGTCGCGCTGGAAACGGAGCGTCTCTGTAAGTTTGTATCCCTGGTGATGTTTGTGCCTGGAGAGCACTATATAAGTGGTGCTCTTCAGGCACAATCTTCCTCAGCCTACTCAAGCTCAACTGATGAGGGGTGAATTCCCCGAAACACTGTGTATTGAGCAGGGAGTGGTGCTTTCTTGCAGGTTTGCCGAGTCGAAGGTTCGATGGACTTCTCGTGTGCTCTGGATGGCAGTCGTGAGTCAGTCAAGTGTCAAGTAAAGTCGGCGGAATAGCGCGAGCTCCGGTGTGGGGAGCAAACCCTTTCTTACAAATCATCGCCGAAGTCGCAACCACTACTTCGTAAATGCCTGCTCTAAAAATTAATGTGAAATCATACCCAGTTGATCGAACACAAAGTGACAATAGTACAGGAACAGTAACACATCACTAGGTGCTACTGTATTAGGCGCAGGATAATAATCTTTATTTCAGGATTACCCAAAGGCTAACGATTGCGTTGCACAAGTGATAGTTGTAAATAGCTGCTGGCGTGCTGACATGCCTGCACGCACATCTCAGAACTGATTTCATTTTGCTAGCACACTCACCATTGCCATTGGTTCTTCTCAGTGGGTGCGCGTTCTCTTCCGGGCCAATATCCAGCAAAGAAACTAGTTACTTCCGCTCTTTCTCGGCTCGGGTGTTGAAATGGCGCAAATACCCATCGACATGACAATTTGAGGGCAAGAATGGAACTTGAATTTGGAGCCATAATCGAATCCACCAACGGTGAGGAAGTCAGACGCCAGCACAGATCTTCACAGCTATGTCAACAGAATGCCTCCAAAACTAGTCAAATGAGACAAGATCAAAAGGTTGCCCCCAGAGATCTGCCACTTTGAAAGGAAAGGGCGCAATATGAATCATTTGAAAATATTATGACTGCTAGTGCATATAGTGATGCTAGCAGTAACAACGGTAGATCTGCGAGTGACCGCCAAACTACCAAACTGGGAAATGCCAAACTATTATATTAAACTTACTTCCAAAAGAGCTTGGCTGTCTCGGACCCGCATGCGCTACGGATCGCGCGGTTACCAGGTTACAGCATGCTCCAACCGCCTGACCCCTGAGCTGATCAGGGTTCAGACCCATATCTGCAGACCTACACTGGCCCTGTAGTCAGCTGGCACTATCTCTTAGCCTGTCACCAGGAAACCCTATATTATATAGGGTTTGACATAACGCTACACATAAAGACCCTATATATATAGGGTTAGGACCTACGTTTTAGCGGCTATGGTCTGAGCCAGGTCTGGATGCTACTGACTGTGCATGTGGTAGATCTACATATCGCCAGTGCAGTACTAAAACGCTAGAACTTTTGAAGCCTGTTTACAATAGTTTGAGCAAGGTGGCAAGGTGTCCTCAACAACAAGGCATGTGACGGAGGAGATAGGGGCGGGTGTCAAAAAGGAAGAAGAAAGAGAGAGAGAGAGAGAAAGAGAGAGAGAGAGAGAGAGAGAGAGAGAGAGAGAGAGAGAGAGAGAGAGAGAGAGAGAGAGAGAGAGAGAGAGGAGAGAGAGAAGAGAAAGAAAAAGAGAGAATGGCGGAGGAAACAGCCAGAGCTACCGGAATAGTGACAATATGTTACGGGCCATTTGACCTCAACTCTGCCAGACATACGACGACTGTCCAAGCTCGGGAATAACCACATCTCCCAGAAAACACACAAATACAAACACATGTACACACACATACACACAGCACACACGGTCGGAACTGAGCTGCAACTTCAGCACACATTTCCAAATTTGGGATAATGTTCTCTGGAAATTCTCCCCAGTACAGATATCTGAGATTGGTCTATGCCATACAACTGCTACTTTAAAGGAGAATGAATGAAGCCTTCGGTACTTTGCTACATGCTAAGTAGATCCACTAAAGTATAGATGAATCTAGAATCTAAGTACGAAACAGCCGTATGCATACAATGCGAATGCCGGATGAAAATTGAGAAAACAAATGTGTGCCATAAATAGTTGATTACTAATTTCTGGTTATCTGTATTATAATAGGAGGTATATGTGCATGGATGGTTAGGATAAACTGTGAATAAATAAGGATAATTCTAATAATTTATGGAATGAATGATTCGTCCGGTGGTGTTGAATTCAACACCACCGGACGAAGGTCTGCCTTCTTGTTCCAGTGTTCAGGGCTGGCGCTGATGCTGCTGATAAATACCAAAATACGGAAACAGGGAGAAAAAAGGAAAACTAATGTCTCAATATACAGTACCAGTATCCTTGGCGAAAGGAAGTTTCAAATTAATTTCACTTCATGCCCAGCTGAGTGCATGGTTTGCAACGTATAAACCATTCAATTCTTGTGTCACAGTTGTTCTTCCCTCAGTACAATGCCAACATACTATGGTATCTCCGGTCATTTCGGAGGTATATCCTGTAGAATGAACGGCCAGAGTGCAGCAATATCACTTACTTTGAGGTATGGTTAGCAGTCGGTTGAGGCGCTGCCGCTGCTCCTGTTGTTGTTGCTGCTGCTGCTGTTGTTGTTGTTGTTGTTGTTGTTGTTGTTGTTGTTGCCTTTGCTGCTGCTGCTGCTGTTGATGATCAATCGCTTGTCTGTTGCTGTAATGAATAGTATGAGGGAGACAACAAGGAGGTGCACACATGGTTTAAAATATTATTGTCTAATCCCTTAAACAATTCCCCATCAGGGAAGATTTAGGGGGGGGGGGGTGCTCAAGGCCCCCAGACATCCCCACAGAGCTTCAATGTGTGCCATTCCTTTTTTTAAGTCGATGAGAGGTACACTGACCAAAAAAACACTTGTTATTTTCCCAGGTGTTCGAGGGACTTCACAGGAAATCACATTTTTCCACGTTTTGGGGGCTGTGTTGGGAAAATTCTATACGTTTTCTCTCCGGCCACTGTCACAGTTTGACAGGTGTTGGGGGAGTGGACAGCAGGTCACACATCAAAATATGCCAACAAATTTTGCTGCAAAACAGCCACACGCCACAGGAAGTCAAAACAAAATTAATTGTACCGCAAAACAGGTAACGTTTGCGACAAATAAATGTTTGCGTTTTACAAATTGAGACTGGTTTGCGTTGCTTAATGTTTGCGATTGAATACATATTGAACACATACAGTCATATTGAATACATACTTCTTTGAACTTTACATGGCGCGAAATTGCGTTGTTCAAAGTTTGCGATTCGGGGCCTCTCGCAAAATTCGCAAACATTTTTACGTTGCAATAGTTACCCGTTTTACAGTAATACTTACAGCTTTTAAAATTAATACGGTGCATTATATTCATGAACAAATGTAGTTGGACTTACTCGGTCAGTCTGGTTTCATGATCTGCGGGCCCCATCCGGAAACTTTCTACCCAGTTGTCCTGTTCAATAAAACAGCATGACAATAGCACAGTATAATATCAGTCAAAGGAGACTCCCTCGATTTAGGCTAAGGCCTGTGGAGAATCCATAAATTATTATTATTAAAAGCATGTCCGCGTAGGTGGCGGGGGTGCCACTTTCGCTTATGCCATTCAGGATTGATGTCTGAAGAGTAATACCAATACGATACAATAAAATGACAGAAGTGACGTCAACAAAAGCCGTTAGCAACAACACCAATATGACTAATGGAAAACTTCATCCAAAGTATAAAATAAAATAGAATATGCATACAACATGTCTGGTCAGTCCTGTTAGGTGGGGCGGGCTCCACGCCATGCCTGTCGGTCCGCTGCCATTGTGCGGACTGCGTCAACATCTAGCGGCTGGTGGAGGGTAAGTCCATGCCATGATAACAGTTCCGTCTGCAAGACCGTTACCAAAGTCGTCCGAGGTCGACCCCTGAAGCGTTCAGTGCCCTCGTCGTTGGCCAGGCGAAGATACATATCCACTGCCAACTGTGGAGGAGCAGTTGGGGCCAAACGAAAGATATGGCCAGCGAGACTGTAGCGCTGCCTTGTGATCATCTCGCTGATGGGGACAGCTCCGCAGCGCTTATACAGAGTGTCATTGCTAATTCGTTTAGGGTACCGCATGTCGATGATGCTCCTTAGCTGGGTCCTGTGGAACGAATCCATTCGCGCGAGCTCCGACATCGGTAGGCCCCAAGTGCCGCAGTTGTAGGTAAGGACTGGGATGACGTAGGCGCTGTAGAGCCTCAGCCGAAGACCTTCACTGATCTGGCGCCTCCGGGTCCAGATCTTGAGGAGTGAGTTGAAGGCGGCGGCGGCCAGTTGACGCCTCCGAGCAGCATCTTCGGCGTCACCCAGGAGGGAGCCTAGTTTGCGGACAGTACGCCACGTTTCTTGGTTCCTATCGGGAAATCGGGCGACGGTGGTATGCTCTGTCTTGGAGGGATTAACGTTCAGGTTCCATCTCGCAAGAACTGCTGGAGCTTGTTGTTCAACTTCACTGAGAAACGTCTCATCCCGGCTCACAAAATCAACATCGTCCGCGTATGCGATATCCAACGGCAGGTCATTGTCCACAGCAGGGCGAGATGGCAGCTCCTGTCGTAGGTCCCGGAGAGCAGCCTCCAGGTAAATGGTGAAAAGCACTGGAGAGAGACTGTCCCCTTGAGGGACTCCGATATTTGTCTTGAAGGAGCTTTTCGATGCACCTTTCACACGAGGTTCAAGCCAGGTTTCAGTCAACAGTATACGGATCATTCGGAGCTCACTTTCTTGGAGGAAGGATTCAAGGATCCTCATCAGGACATCGCGGCGGACAGTGTCGAATGCTTTACTCATGTCAATTCCCAATATGTGGATGGACGTATTGAATCGCTGCGTCATACTACATAGCCATCTATGGCACCACACCACATCACTTGTGCTGCGGCCACGACGAAAAGCACTTTGGGATGTAGCCAGGTACTGATCAACCGCTGGCTGTATCCTCTTCAGCACAATCAGGGACAGCGTCTTTCTCAACGCCGAGAGCAGTACGATAGGGCGCGTACTAGTAAGCGGCCCTAGTGGTTTACCGGGCTTCTGCAGCAGTATTAGGGTTCCTCTGCCAACTTCGAGTGGGTCATGTGTCTCAATAGCTCGGTTCAAGATGTCGGAAGTCATCTCAGCGACAATGGGAGGACTGTACTTGAGTAACTCTCCGGAGAGATGGTCAGGGCCTGCCGCTCTCCCGTTATTCAGGCTTTGGAAGGCCCTCCTAACTTCGGCCGATGTGATTCGATTGGGGAGAGGGCTGGGATCACCTAGGAATTGTGGAATGTCAGGGAGGGATTTATCATGGAATTGGCTTTCATAATGTTTGATGATGAACGCCTGCTGGTCTGCAGGGTTGATAACGACCCGCTGCTTCTCATCATGAATAATAGGCTGGCTGTACGGTTTTCGCTTCAGTAGCTGGACAGCACGGAACATCTTTGCCCCACTATCATGCAGTCGCTCCACTTCCTCTGCTTGACGATCCAAGGCTCTCTTGGCATTGTCAGATGCGATATCACGAATTTCATGCATTGTGCGATTTCTTTGATTTTTTAGTGACTGTCTTTTCTGGTCATCCCTGCACTCTCCAATCGCCAGGCGAAGATCTTTCTGCTTGCGTGACAGCAACTCAATTTCAGGGGAGAAGTCATGGCGGTGATGTTGTCTCTGCTGAGTGCCGGCCGAATCCAGTGCTGATTTGCTGAGGACTTCAGATAAGGATTCCCAGACTGCTTGGGTGCTGTTGGCTTCTGATGACACGCTGCACTGGACCTGGGTCTCCACAGTTCTCTTGTAGGATTCCCGAATTGCGACATCTGAAGCAAGCTTTCCAGTGTC